CCATGACACTACCTCCACAGTGCTTGACCGATGAGCTCGTATGTTTTGGATTATGAACAGATCCTTTCTTTCTCCACACTTTGGCCTTTCCATCACTTTGGTAGAGTTTACTCTTTGTTCCAGAACTTTTGTGTCTCATCTCTGTATTTCTTTGTGGATTCCAATCTGGCTTTCTGATTCTTACTGCTGATGAATGGTTTGCATCTTGTGGTATGGCCTCTATATTTCTGCTCTCTAAGTCTGATTGTGATGCCTTCACACCTGCCCTGTGGAGGTTGTTGGTGATGTCACTGACTGTTGTTTTTGGGTTTTAATTCACAGCTCACAATGTTTTTGTCATCAGTTGCTGTTGTTTTCTTTGGCTGATCTGTTTAATGTCTGGTTGTTAGTACACAAGCGGTTTCTTTCTTTTTCAGGACATTCCAAATTGTTGTACTGGCTATGCCCAATTCTTGTGCAATGGCTCTGATCGATTTTCCCTCTTTTCTCAGCTTCAAAATGGCTTGCTTTTCTCCCATAGACAGCTGTCTGGACTTCATGTTGGTTTATCCTTTTTAACAACAAATGCAGTCTTCACAGGCAAACCCCAGGGCTCAAACCAAGAGTAGACATTCAGAGCTATTAAATGGTTAAACAATCAATCTAACAGGCACACCTGGGCAGCAAGAAACACCTGTCAGTCACATGTTCACTTAAAAAATGGGTGGGTTCAAACAAAAGGTGCCATGTTCTAAGTTGTTTAACACATCTAGATGTAACTATCAAGATATGAAAGCTGAAATTCTCATCTATCTTTTCATATTCGTCTTTTGATCTCAAACCCAAATGTCTTCAGCGTATAGCAAAAACAAAAGAATTGGCCTTGCTGTTCCAATACTTTCGGAAGGGACTGTATACATTCATCTTTATGTCTAATCATCACAATATTTGTATAATTTAGAGCGTTGCATAAATCGATCTGGATAATTTTTTTTTCTTGCTGTACTACATTCTCTCTATCAGGGTTTTAGCTTAGACACAGACCTATTAAATTAGCATCAGGATATGTTTTTGATGCACACTACAAAGCACTTCTATAAGTTGCTGTGGATAAGAGTGTCTACTACATGCTGTAAATGTAAATGCAATTAAAGTGTCACATGATCTCAATATAAATAGATCTGTTCCTAGAAGGAATTTGTTAGAGAACATACCAAAACAAACAGCTTTTTGAAGAGCAAGGACCATTCAAAACAAACATTCCAACAAAGTGCTGGAAAAGTGTCAGTCAGGGTTATAAAAATATCCCTAACTTTGAACATCCAATGGGCTTCTCCTAAAGGAGGCTATCCACACTTCAGTAAGCAGATAGGGAGGGCATTAGACAGAGAAGCAACCAAGAGGCCAAGGGTACGTTTAAAAGAGATGGAGAGATCGACAGCTCTCCGATCGACAGCAGAGAGAAACTATTTACAGGACAACCTTAGGGAAGACATTCCACAAAACTGGTCTTTATGAAAGAGTGGTGAGAAATGAAAAAAGCCATATGAGTTTGATGAGACCAAAGCAGTATGGCCATATGAGTCTGATGAGAAAATGTAACCTTTAGCCTTGGCACAAAGCACTATGTTTGGCAGAAACCCAACACTGCTGATCACCCTAAGAACCCAATCCCAACAGTGAAGCATGGTGGGGGTAGCATCATGTTGTGGGAATGCTGTTCATCAGCAGGGACTGGGAAACTGTTCAGGGTTGAGGGCAAAAATGGATGGAGCCAAATACAGGGCAAATTCTAGGAGAAAACCTGTTCCAGCCTGCAAGACTTGAGACTGTGTGGAGGTTCACCTTCCAAAAGGACAAAGGCACTGAGAATCCTGCCAAAGCTACACTAGAATGGTTCAAACCCAAGAATCTGATTGTATTAGAATGATCCAGTCAATCCAAATAAGACTTGAAATTTGTTGCTTACCAATGGTCTCCATATATTCTGACAGAACTTGAGCAATTTTGCCAAGAAGAATGGGCAAAAATATCTGATTCCTGATGTGTAAAGCTGATAGAGACATATTCCAAAATACCTGCAGCTCTAATTGCAGTCAAAGATGGTTCTAACAACAATTTCTTTGTTGTTTAATTAACCTTTTTGTCACAATAAAAATGGTAAAAATCAAATTCATTTCAATTCCAGGTTCTAACATTAGAAAATGAGAAAAAGTTCAAGGGGAGTGAGTACTTATGCAAGACATTAAGAATAAATTAAGAGATTAAATCTGCTGCTGATCCCGGAGCCACCACAACTCCAAATATGTGTCCAGTCTGGACATTACATTATTCACTTTCACCTGAATACTGACTGCACCTGTTTCTCTCACAGTTTCTCTGTGTATTTATCTAGCTCTCTCATCATTTTTGTGAGGTTTTGCCTTTTCTTAGCCATTTCTGAATGTTCTATCTGGTTTTGACTCCAGCTTAATTTTCTTCATGAGTTTCATTGCCCTGCTTTGCACTGACTGTCTGATCGACTGTCCTTTGTCTGCCTCCTGTTTTTGGCCTTGTTTGCCAATTTGGATTTTCTAATAAATAAGTTTGCACTTAAATCCACTTCTTCCACTACATGACACAGGCCAATGAGCTATTTTGAGTTCAGCACTGGACAGCTCCTGTGCTATTACCTCAGTAAGCCTCTGAAGTCAGGAACATTGAAAGTCAAAAATATATCACTACACTGGACAATACATCATCTTCACAACTGATATGTGTGTGTAAACATAAGTAAACACGTTGCATTGTGAGATGTATTGGTAAGCTTGATTTAAAATAACTTAAAATGATCCTGCCTTGTCCCAAATTGTGCCCTCAGCCTTCCTTCCTTCTCCACATCAGCATTTTGGTATCACTGTTGGTGGTTCTATGGTGCACGTGTCCTTAAGGGCACAAGGGAGTCAAGCGAGCAGTCCTCAAGTTCTGAAGTGTAACACTTTACAATGTTATTTTTGGAGGAGAGAGTGAAAGTATAATGAGCATTCCTTGGAAGTTAATAGTAGCAACTTGAGCGTTAATGAAGAACTATTAATTTGTTCCTGCTTAGTCCCTACATACATACATATTAATTATTGTTCAACACCGTAAACTGTTAACAACCTAACAATATTCCAGGATGTTTTGTGTGGTGCTTTCACATTGGCGATGCTGTTATTCTCCAAACAGGTCTGTGCAAGCTGGGCTGCACCTACACATATTTTAGAAGTACTGAACTGGGTTCTGGATAAATTTAATAGTTTGCACAAGTGGCAGTCAGTGAGTGGTACATAGGCAACGTGTGGGCAGGGCAGAGGCAGGGAGTAGGTGGTGCAGGGGTGGGTCTAGGCTGTGAATGGCAGTTTAGTAAGAAGCACACCTGCCTCCAACACACACATGCACACACAGCTGTGTTACCATAGAAATGCAGCCAACCAATGACAGGCACTGATTTTCCCCTCAGGGACTCTGCTGATCTTAGAGAGCCGGGGGTGGAGTTTTACCAGTAAAACCATCTTTAGTGACTCTGAAATGTAAATTATACCAATCTGGCCTTACCATGGCTAATTTTATTCTCCAAGTTTCTCCACGGGGGGGGAGAGAGAGAGAGAGAGAGAGAGAGAGAGAGACGGACGCAGAGTGTGCATGTGTGTGTGTGTGTGTGTGTGTGTGTCTTTGTGCATGCCTTTGTTCAACAAAATGTGTGATGGACTATTTAAAGATGTTATTATTTAATGTTTATAAGGTAATAAACAGTTAACACAGTTAAACACCTTTGTTTAATTGCTTATAGGGTTTTATACAGGTGCGTATAGTTTCCTGCATGTATATACTGTAGCTCCTTTCTGTCTGTGTTCAAGTGTGTTGCTAGGCAAGAGTGGTAACCATGGTCAGCCCTCAGCCAATCAGATGTTGTCACACAGTACCTCTTTCAATTAGTCAGTCCAAAGTCTGTGTTGGTTGATCCTATAGTTGTTCACTATATAGCTGTTTGTATGAAGCTCATGAAAGTACTACAGAATACATGTGATGAGTTTGAATGTCTTCTCATGCAAGGATTAGCATATTCTGATTAGGGCTTTCTCTCAAGAGCTTCACACTGATTTTAATCAGGAATTGTTTTAATCAGGAATGAAGTAGAGAATAATTTCTAATCTGATTTGAATCAGTAATTGTTTTAATCAGGAATCAGTGTGGAGAATCATTCCTGATCTGATTTGAATCAGTAATTGCTTTAATTAGGAACTGGAGTATAATGAGAGAATCATTTCAGATCTGATCCTGTTAAGAATTATAATTTTGCATGACAGAGTCTTCAGGAATCATTAGATAGAGTCAGCTTAGTCAAGAGACATTCAAGAGAATGACTTGGTAATAATTCAAAGCTGGTTTGATTTGTCATTAAAGCCTGATTTTGCTCTTAGGTTAATTGCTTTGAATAGTTCATTTACTTTGATTCAAAAGAAAGAATTGTTAAAATAACACTGAATATATATATATATATATATATATATATATATATATATATATATATATATATATATATATATATATATATAGTATTTTGGCAGCCTGTAAAACCATTCATAAGGTCAAATGTTGACTTTGACTACTTTGTATAAAACAACTACTATATATAAATAAATAAATAAATATATATAAGGCATTTAAACACAAGCCTTATCATCATCTTTTCACTCAACTGATCTCTGTACTTGAATATGTGGGGAAATAATAGCTGATAAAAGCAGACAGTTCTGTTCTGTTGATTAAATTTCTTGTTAATAATGGCTTTTTATTAGGTCATTTAAACATTTTTAAACTTTGTCCACTGTTATCTGTACAGAGTGTGTAAGCACTCTTCTCTGTATGACAATGTAATGGTGCAGGAGCATTGCAGATATTTTGACAGACGCTATCTGATCACAAATTGAAGTGATTAGGCTTATGTGTTTTTCACGGTGGATCAAATACCTGAACATATCATGAGAAAATTACATGTGGGCAGTGGGGGCTTAGTGGTTACAGCTCTGGGAAACTAATCAGAAGTTTGTGGGTTCAAGCCCCAGCACTGCCAAGCTTGAGCAAGGCCCTTAACCCTCTCTGCTCCAGGGGTGTGGCACCATGGCTGCCCCTGTCCTCTAACCCTAACTTCCTAACAAGTTGGGATATGTGAAGAAAAGAATTTCACTGTTCTGTATTGTGTATGTAACAAATAAAGGCTTTTTCTTTTTTTATTTAGTTAGTGGCTGCATGTATATCTGTGTTCGTTAAACTGGCTGATGTGATCTCTGCAGACAGCCAGCCATGGCAAGGTTAGAAAAGAACCTAAATTAAAAATATTTCTGTCATTTTTGTAAAATATATTCATGTTTTCTTAAAGTGGAGAATACATCAATATGCAGAGACAAAAAACATGACATGATCACTGGGGATTTCAATCAGTTTCTTACATTTTATTAGTTTCTCCATCTATACAAGAACATATAATTTCAAATCATCCAGCTTAAGTTCTGTTTCATTTTGGCAAGGGATGTTAAGAGAGGAATAGACAAAGTAAGAGAGAGAGAGAGAGAGAGAGAGAGTCTGTTGGTGTGTTCGTGCATTTTTAATGAAATAGAGTAATAGAATATTGTCAACATTATTTCCACAGCAACCAAAATACACTACAGGGGCACTCAACAACTGACATGCAAGAAGTCTGTTACAACACTGTCTCACACACACACACACACACACACACACACATACACAAAACCAGGTCACATTGCACTGAGAGAAAATTATTTTCTCTAGTAAACTTAAATTTATACTTCCAAATCACTCTTTATCTCACCCTCTTACTGTCTTTATATTCATTCGTTCACTCTCTCTCCTGTCATGCACGGACACCATGTCAACTGCTGCTTAATCATTAAGAAGGCAGTCTGGGTCCTCAGGCATCACCACCTAAACACACGCACACACACACACACACCCCCACACACACGCACACAGGATTCTATTTGTACATATAATACCACTGGAGAGTTAAACAAACACTGCAAATGTGCACATATGTTTTAATGCATTAACACTTGTTAACACAGACTCTCTCTCTGTGGTGTGTGTGTATGTGTGTGTGTGTATGTGTGTGTGTGTGAATGTGCGCGTGCATGTGTGCATATATTACATTGTGCTGCACACACTTTCTGTTTTTTTTTTTATTCCATCAATATAAAGGATATTAATGAAAGGCATTGAAAGGTCAGGAAAGACTAGAGAACAAAGGCCAAAACACAACGTCAACCACTGCAAATGACCAAAGCACAAACCAGACGGCAGCAAAGAGAAGATACCCAATAGAATGCAAGACCACCATACAGGCACACTCACACACATCAGTCACACTCATCTTGGAAAGTGAGCAATGTAAGAACAGACTGGTGAGAACTCTGTGTGTGGCCTGCAAAAAGCCAGTTTCACTCTTTCATTTGACCCCTCCATTAAATAGAGGGTTAAATGGAGAGAGTGAGACCGGGAGCAAGATAGAGAGAGACATTAAGAGTGAGAGAGACATTAAGAGTTAGATTTGGGGGCTGGTGGTAGATTCAGTCTTGTGTCAGTGTTTAAATAACAATAATAACTGTGACAACAGAAATCAACAGCACCAAGTTTATCATCATCATCATCATCATCATCGTTTTATCTCATATTCTACTTATAAATACAAATTCATTACCACCTCATAATTGCTCTCTGCTCTATTAAAAAAAACACCATCAGTAAAAATGATTGAGATGTTGAGTAATGTTGTCAAAGTCAATATTATTATTACAGTTATCAATATTATAGTGGTTGTAATTTAAGAAGGGCTAGTTTCACTAATTTAATCTGATCTTATTTTTTATTATTTATATTTCTCCTTATTGGTTTGTTTGCCTCTGTTCGTTAATCTTGCACAGCAACTGTCTGCTCCTTACTGGGGGCAGGGCTGGTCTCCGTGGTTACAGGCTGTGCAGAGGCGGGCCCTTTGGCGGGTGGAGCTTCAGTCTTTTTAGCCTCAGCGTCTGCCTTGCTCTCCATCGCAGAGGCAGGATCCTTAGCTGGGGCAGGCTCTTTGAGAGCTGGGGTGGTATCTTTCGCTGGTTCTTTCTCATTGGCCGGTGCTGGAGCAGAGGCAGGTTTTTCTTCTGCCTTGGTGGGTGGGGCCTCAGGACTCTTGGCAGGTTCCACTTTTGCAGAGTCAGCACTCTTGGCATTAGATGTTGAGGTGGTGCTAGCTGCTGATTTCTCTTCCTTGGCTGTTGGGGCAACACTCTTCTCCTCTTCTTTTGGCACGGCTGCACTGCTATCCGCAACAGGCGTTGCTTCTTTGGTGGCTGCCGCCGTGTCATTGGCTGTCTCGGTGGTTTCCGTGGCAGTTGGTGCTTCCTCCTTGTTGTCTTTAGAAGCATCATTCTCTTCTGCTGATGCTCCCTCTGTTTTGGCGTCCTTTTCTTTTGCCTTCTCATCATTCACATTGTATCCCTTCTTCTTCTTGCTCAGTTTTCCTCCCATGGTGCCTTGAACCTCTGAAACACAAAGAAATAAACAGACAGACTATTAATGCATTCTGAGAACAAAGATAATGGTCCGTACTTTCAATTCAAAGTTGTGTATGGTCAAGTCTGATCTTAAAATAACCATATGGAAAATTCACCAGTTTAATTTCCATATTCCACAGTCACCAAGCTATTCAACAATTTCATCTTTGGCATATGTGTACAATCAGTCTCATGTCTGATTCAAGTGCATGCAATAGCCTACAAAACAGGAAAATGCATGATTTGCAGCCAGATTGAATATATGTAGATTTTAATTATATACAGTATATAGTATTTTAATTCTATTTTTAAACATATTAATAAAGACCTATTGTTGAAATTTGTGTGGTCAACAATATTTCTTGCTCAAAATGCATTTTAATACATAGTTTTTCCCTCAGTTTTACTTCAAATTAAATTGTTTCCCCAAACATGTAGTTTTCATTTAGATCTTAGGACTTTAGCACTGAGGAGCTCTATTTCAGAACTTTATGAAAAGCTTGTTGAGGCTCCTCATGAAGCTGGCTGAGAAAATGTCAGGAGTGTGCAAAGCTTCATCAAGAATTCTGATCATAATTTACATTATTTAATAGTTTTGATTTGCTTAACACTTTTCTTGGTCACAGTTATTTCAATGTCAATGAGCCTCATTTATCAACCTGGATATGAATTTATTCGCAAATAAATAAGAGCATTTACACAAGAAATATGGCATTCATGAAAACACAGGTCGTTTGGAAAAAAGGTTTGTATCCTCCAAGAGTGCCTGAGTATGTGTATACTTAATAATGGTGTCATTACAATCATAAACCTTTAGTAAATAAGAGTCTATAAGGCTTGTTTAGATTTTTTTTCTTTGAGTAAATTTTTGTGATGGCTGAAATGACAAGGAAATGTCTTGAGGTTTTTCTTATCACTATGCCTGTATTATGCTTGCAGCAGTGCCCATTATACCAGCGTGTGTGTTGTCACTAGACTCAGCCCACAGGCATGATGGACTGATTTCACTATATTTTGGGCATTCAGGCACCGACAGTGCCAGCAGAGATTGTTTGTCAGGGGATGGACTGCCAAGATAATGACTGTGCTAGCTTGCAGTGATAGAATTTATTATTCACGGCGCACATTTACTTGTATTATAATACAAGTGAAAGTCCCTTTTAACTGAATGTAAACTGTAATCACTGTCCCTCAACATTATATATTTATAATGTGCAGCCTGAAAACAGAATGTAACACAGTGTTAAGTAGGGGATGTTGTATCAAGACAAGTCTGGATAAACCCCACAACCCAAGACTCAGAATAGCAGTTACCACAGCAACCACGGTCACATGACCTGCTCACAGTGAAAAGAACATGGACACACACATGCACACACATACAGTACAGACACACACATGCATGTGTGTGATGTACACCAGATGGGGGTGGATGTATTGAGCAGATCAGTCAGTGTACGTAATATATATATGTGACCAAACCAAAAACACACTCAGAACTATTCCTCTCATAGAAATAACAATGGTGGTAGTGCTGGTGCTAGTGGTGTGAGTGTGTGTGTGTGTGTGTGTGTGTGTGTCTTTCAGAAAACAATAGAGTCAGTCTCCCCCGTCGCCATCAGTAAGAATAATGTGCCATTCCTGTATCCAGTTCCTGTGGATATTTGTATCTGTATGTGGCCAAAGCCAAAGATAATCCAAAACTCTATTAAAGAAAGTGAGTTTTATGCCATGTGCTATCAATGACAGGTCTGCACTGAATACTGAAATTATATAATTATAGTATACAAGTTAACCGTTTGATTTCAGTTATATCAAAGACAAAATCATGTAGATTGTCTCTTGAATCAAATTTAGTAAAAAGACGTTATTACTTTGGTAGGTTTCCAGAAGTTCGAACCGTGCTCACAGTGCAATCCATAACTAATTAAACAGTAACACAGTTTTGTTGTGTCTGCATTGCACATTCATTAAAGGATTTAAAACCAGTTTGATGACTATGTAAAAATATAGCTTTATCGTGAGGTTTAAGGAGAATTATATGCAAACTGGGTAGACCACTTAGAGTCGCGTAAAGGTTTGCGTACCCTTAGCTTGAAATGATGAAATCAGTAAAGCATTTAATGCAAGCTTATTTTTCCCCTCATCAAATAAGTAAAAAAAAAAGGTCAAAATCTGTATGTTAAGATATAAATATTGAAATGAACATTAATTTCTGGATGTGATATAAATGTGGACTTTTATTAATGGGAATATATTATTATTATTATTATTATTATTATTATTATTATTATTATTATTGTTGTTGTTGTTGTTGCTGCTGCTGTTGTTAGATTCTAAAATCTGCATGTCTATCTTTGTTTCATTTCTGATTAATAGTTTTTTTTAACTGCGTAATTCTCCTCTTAAACATTTTGATATTTTTTAAGCTCTGTGAAATATCTGTCAATATTTGTGTTTTAGGTCTTGTGACTGCTACTTTCCTGATCAGATTGACTCCTGAGTGTTTGAG